CCCAGCCCTATAGCTATTTTGTTGCTACTTCATAACTTCAATGCTGCTACTGTTATGAATCGTAATGCAAATGTCTGTGCTTCTTGATGATCTCAGGTGACCCCTGTGAGAGAGAGGGTCATTCAACTCAAAGGGGTTGCAACCCACAGATTGAGATCCACTGCTCTGAAGCTTTCCTACCTGTGATTTTTTGGTACCGAGGACAAATCTGGCCACACCCCATAAAGGAGCAGGTTACATGTCTATTACCAAACTGTGTAAGCACCCTTTACAGGGCTAGAACTTAACTCTTAAAATAATTACCACTGTAACTCCTCGGGCTTTATAAATTCATTTTAAAAAGGCTACTCACAAATGATGCCTATAAAATACATTATTTCCCAAAGAATATAAATATTTGTGTTTCCCGATGGTCTTAGGTGACCCCTGTGAGAGGGCTGTTCGACACGACCCACAGTTGAGAACTGCTGTACTAGTGACATAAACGCTATCAGAGGTGACGTAGGGAAAAACACAGAACTGAAGGAGCCGGAGTGTGGGGCTGTGTTAGTGCAGTGAGGTGGAACGTCCCTGGGCGGCTGAAAGACGGTTGCCAGGGAAACCACTTTCAGAACAAGTCCTTCTGGGCCCTAGCTGGAAGAAGGTGAGGAGAACGTTGCTTATATCCCAGAGAAAAACATCCTCAGGAGAGAGGATAGGAAGTGCAAATGTCCTGAGGCCTAAAACATTTAGCATTAACGAGGATCCAGCAATACTGCGGCAGAGAAACTGAGCGGAGCCCAGTGTGAGCAGGTTAAAGGAGGGGGATGACAAACTTCCTTACGATGGGCAGTGAGGCCAGCCGTGCTCTCCAGCATCTCGAGAAGTCCCAACCCCCATTTGCCCTCCCCAGGTGGAAAGGCCTTTCCAGTGACCCACCCCACGTGTAAGCGGCAGGAGCAGATTGGGGGAGAGTAGACCCCCCAATCCCGCTGGAGTGCAGCCGGGAGATACCTGGAGGCCTCCCTGTGTGGTTTGTCTTGTGGACTCGATCCAGCTGTTCTCTCTCACCATGAACAGTTTTAAGTTGTTCAAATCCTCGCATTTCAATGCTTGATAATTTTAAGTAGTCCAACGTCACATCTGCAACTAGAGGTCAGACATTGATCTCCTTTGTACACATTAGCTTTCCCAATACCCTTGCCTTTGTCTCCCCACCACGAGTACTATTCTTATCTACTCCAAGGTTGGGTGCTGTTACCAAATGGCGTGACTCTGCAGTGGTCCACGTTGAAAGGGCATCAATCTGCCCCCGTAAACTCTTGTTCTTTTTTTTTTTAAAATTACTTTTTTATCTTGACGTGCATTGCTCATCTGCCTGTGTATATGCCTGTGTAAGGTCTCCAGAAACTGTAGTTACAGACACTTGTGAGCCACCATATGGGTCCTGGAAATTGAACCCAGGTCCTCTGGAAGAGTAGTCAGTGCTCTTATCTGCTGAGCCATCTCTCCAATACCCACTCTTGCTCTTTTAACAACGGAATCTATTTGAATTCCTACCTAGGAGTCCACTAGTTACCTGGTATCGGAAAGAACTGACTAGTGAATGTTTCACCTTCCTATCAACCAGCACTTCAAAGCAATTTTTCAGTTCTCCAGAAGAGGGCAGTGTCTCTCCACATTTCCCACCTCCACCCCGTCCGTTCTGATTTAAAATCAACAGAGTCGTTTTTTACTCTTTCTTTTTCTCATCGGTCCTTTTCATAGGTTCCACTTTCTTTCATCCTCAGAGTCTTATTTCTGCCTTTACATTTACTGTCCCAGCTCCTGCTGGGTCTCCTCAGGTGGTCTGCCCTCACCCACCCGGTGTCTCAGCTCCTACCTTCTTTTCAGACTGCTGGTTGTGCTCTTATCCAGCCAAGGGTTTCTGAAGTCACTGTCCAGACCTCTTCACAACCTCTCTGGCGACGCAGGAGATAAATGTGTACAGCAAGCAGGGCAAAATCTGAATCTGTTACCCCGGTGTTCATGATCGTGAGAATCAAGCTGCTACCCGTTTCTCAGAGCTCTTTTCCCTGTCCCTCACAGAATGACCTTCTTATGGTTTTTGTAGTAAGAATTCAGGACATGACTGAGTGCTTTTACTGTCCCTAGATGCCACCTAGCCTTAGTGAGCCTCGGCATAGGGTATCAGTGACACCTACCCTCCAGGGTGGTTTTAGAAATAGGTTGCACCATAAACATTTCTGATCTATAGAGCCTACATAATGAATGGTACTACCACTGTCGCCATCAACAAACGATTCCATGCTTCCCAGATCCTCTTAAGAATTGTTCAACCCCCTGCCTTCTGTCTACGGATACTGTGTCTCTAAGGACTGGTCTTGAATTCATTTCTCTCTCTCTCTCTCTTTCCTTCCTTCCTTCATTTTAAAATTATTTACTGTATGAATGTTTTGCCTGCATGTATGTATGTAGATGAACCACATGGGTGCTTGGTGCCTGGACAGAGTGTGGGACCTACTGGAAATGGAGTTAACAGGTAGTTGTCAACCACTATATGGTTGCTAGGAAGAGAACCTGGGTCCTTATAAGAACAAGTGCTCTTAACTGCTGAGTCATTTCTCAGCTCCCCCCACACCCCCACCGGGCTCATTTTTCCTTCATTATGATAACTTGCCCCTACCACCCACAAGTGGTCCCCTAGTACTGTGACTACCTGGTACCCACAAATGATAGGCATGCCATGGAAGATAAAAGACCAAGGGAAGAAAATGCATATGATGTGTTATAGTATGGAAGGAGGACCGCTTGTTGGTTCCCAGGTACCTGGCTAGCTTAGACTCGAAATAATCACACAGAAACCATATTAATTAAATCACTGCTTGGCCCATTAGCCCTAGCTTCTTATTGGCTAACTCTTACATATCAATTTAACCCATCTCCATTAATCTGTGTATCGCCACGTGGCCGTGGCTTACCAGCTAAAGTTTCAGCATGTCTGACTTTGGCAGTGGCTCCATGGTGTCTCTTGACTCCGCCCTTCTTTCTCCCAGCATTCCACTTAGCTTTCCAGCCTAGTTCTGTTCTTCCCTGCCATAGGCTCAAAGCAGTTCCTTATTTATTATCCCATAAAAGCAGCACATAGACAGAAGGACCTCCCACACCAGTATGTTTCAAAAGGAAGGAAAAGTCAGCCTGTCTCTGGGATCAGAACAGGAAGGCATGTGGCCGGTGTTAGGGAAGGGAGGTATGTGATCAATGTTGGTACCGCCCACAGCTTACCTGAGAAATGCTCATGAAGGCTGAACTGGAAGCATGTTCAAGTCAGACCAAGCAGGGAGTAGGAGAAAAGACCAGAAAAAGAGAAACAAACACATCTTTTTATCCGACTAGGTTTTTATTTTCAAAGCCTTATTTATTTATGCATGTTGGTGTTTTGCCTGTGGGTATGTCTGTGTGTCGTGTGCATGCCTGGTGCCCACAAACACCTGAAGAGAGTGTGAGATTCCCCTAGAGCCTGAGTTACAGAGAGTTGTGAGCCACCATGTGGGTGTTGATAATAGTTACGGTCCTCTGGAATTTCAGTCGGTGCTCTTAACCTCTGAGTCATTTTGCCAGCCCCATATCCTGCTTGGTTTTAATTTGCCAAGACCAAGAGCAAAATTTTACTCTCATTAGGACTTCAGAGGTTCCTCAAAAGCCCTTTAATCATAGAATCTGTTTATAAATTGTTCAACAGGAATGTAAAGAATTGTGGGTTTTAAATTGCCATGTTCAACCCATAGGGAATGGAATTCTGCCTACTCTAGGCTTTCTGTGCCTTCCCTGAAGCAGCTACATGTCCAAGCCCTACCATAGCAGGGAGAAAGAAGCTTACCTCTCCCTCTGAGGCTGAGGACTTAATGAAGGGGTGGGAAGGCTCATTCTCCATTCCCCGCCAGCACTCTGCCCCTGTGGGGCTGCACAAGTCATTTTAATTCACTGTTTTAATAAAACGAGGCACTGTGGAATTGGACTCAACGTCTACCAATCAGCTTTTGTTGATCATCTTATTGTGGAGATTTTTGGGTGCAACTACACTGCTTATGGCGAGAAACTCCTGGGCATCTGGGGATTATGGCCTGGGGCAATGAGCATCTCGTGTTTGTCGGGATGGGGACAGCTGTCTCACGTGCAGCACAGAACCCATATGGCCCATGGTGTCCCTTACAGGCAGTGGTCTCACTCCTTATGCTAAGCTATTCTGTAAGAGAGAGACTCTCTTCAGTTTCCCAAAGTGATCAGGTCCACTCCGATAGGAAGAGCCACCCCGGGCCAGATTCCGTCTGCTCATGGGACAACATGTGAGGGTCTGCTTATGTCCCTAAAGGCTCTGTGTTAGCGATGCTGTCTAACCTTCCTCTCCACCCTTTGAGGACTGGCATCTCAACTGAGTGGGGCTGGCAGATAGGACTCAAGTACCCTGATTTCCCAGGAGTGAAGTATGGGAAATCAATCAGAAAAATTGAAGTCAAAAGTTTGCTTCCAATTTTAACAATCAAAAAAAACCTCTAAACCCCGCCCTGTGCCTGGTAAAAGATAGTTTTGAAGCTAAATTGATATTTAATACTTGAAAAATGGGAGATGACCACACAGAGGAAGAAGTGACAGGCTGTAAAGACCAGAGTGACAGGGGTTTTTTGACCTGTCAGACTGCGAGCACATGTCTGAAGGCTCCAGCCCTGAGTTCCTACGTCCCGCTACCCCCCTTTTTTTCTCTCCAGTTGACACTGAGGGCCAAAGCAACACTCTGATGATAGCCCCTTCCGACAGTCCAGACGAGGGGCTCTCAAGCAGCAGGATGCTAAGGAACTGTCTGCTACTGGATTGCAACTCCTTGGGCTCTATTGTAGTCACAGTGGTGCCAAGCACAAATGCCAGTCTCCACTCCCCTGTGATTATAAACACTGGATAACCTGCAGGTGGAGGTCGTTGAAGGTCAAGCAATATAAACAACACACAGTGTCACCTTGGGATGGTCTACTACATCTTTATTAGTCTTTAATATGTCTTTTAAAAAGTAGATAATATTCTTTTTATTAATGCATTAAAGATAGTGTATTATTAGATTGTTAACCCGGCTTCCAGACAGCAGGAACAGAGTTCAAGTACAAACTTTTCCAGTTTTGTTGAAGAGTAAAGAGAATTGGATGCGTGAACTAAACGGCTCCTGCCATGACACGCCAGGAAAAAAAGCATGATTCTTTTTCTCTAGCACTATTATTAAAGGGCACACAAACACATAAATAATCAAATACATATTACAAGCATGCAGGCTAGACTATTTTTAATATTTGTTACAAAAAGATCCTGGCCGTTGTTGTTTAATGTAAATAAAATACCTTTAAGTTATAAGGGGCAGGATGTTGCTTTACCTCAGTTTGTGCTCTCAAACTATGGCTCGCTTCCTCTGGGATAAAAAGAGCTTTGCACTTTTGACACAAACACATATATCAACACCAGAGAAGGCACAAAAACATCCAGCAGTCATCTTAAATGTCCCTGAAACAACAAAAGTCAATTCAATGAAATGAATTTCCATGGTAATTGCTGAGTTAATGTTTTCTACAAGTACACAAGGAAATCTTTTCTTGGTCAGTAATGCCAGCCAACACTGGAGGTCTAGAAATATGCATATATACATAAATACTAACATACATATTTAAGAGCATCTGAAGAACCTTGGACATCTTCACATACATATTCAGAGTGTCTTGGATCTTCTACTTATATGTGGATCTTAAATATTGCCAATGCTCTGAATAAACAAACAGGAGAAGTTTGAATCTTTACCATACGTCGATGGAACATCTAAGCAGAAGTTTTAGGATTGGTGCATACGAAAGATACTTGTCTTTCTTATAGTGTTCCTCCTGGGTGAACATAAGTGCGTGCCTACTTTGTCTAGGGACTTTGATGTCTGGTTACACTTGCTACAGAGGAATTGCTATGACTCACTTTCTTCCATGAGGAGGTAGGAACCTTAGACAAATACATAACCAGTGTGGGGGAAAATCAGTTGTTTTTATGTGGCCGAGTTAATAGTTAAACTAGAATCAGCTTTATTTTTCCTAGCGAGAGTTGAAAGAAAGTCAAAGCATGTATTTGCCAGCTGGGCACCCAATTGTATATCAGCTTTCATAAGTAAGCCATTTATTGTCAGATTAGCCGCTGACAATATAAAGTGATCCATTGTATGTTTATGATCAATTGAAGGAGAACCTTTGTAGAGAAGGTACAGTCTGTGGGGTAATGCTGCCATGAAACACTCTTTCTACTGGGGTACATTGTAGGTCTCAGGGCGAACAACATACTATACACCTTAGGACTGGAGAAGCAGCCGAGTGGGTAGAGTGTTTGCCTGCTATGATCAGGTCCTTGCCCAACATGCATTCAATCATGAGGATAAGATAGTCAAGGTTATCCTCAAGTATACAGCAAGTGAGAGACCAGCCTAAGATGCATGAGGCCCTGTTTAAAACAAAGCAACAAAACAAGAATATTATACCCTTCATAGTCTGCATTTTCTGCTTGATTGTTCTCCTAGATTTCTGTGTGTCTCCTGCAGAATGCTCTTTGTGCTGAGTTCAGTACTTTGTTGATGAGTCACCCCACCCCACCCCAACCAAGACAAGGGCTCTCTCTGTGCAGCCCTGGCTGTCCTGGATCTTGTGTAGACCAGGCTGGCCTTGAACTCAGAGATCTACCTACTTCTGATTCCTGAGTGCTGGAATTCAAGGTGTCATGAAAGCTATTTTTAGGTCTTACCCCAGTTCTGTACATAACTGAGGGTGTGAGGGCAGAGTTCATAATATCAAAACAAGTTCTTGTGTCTGAGCCAAGATGGACCAGAGGACTTGAATAACCAAGCGGGGCCCCTGATCCCCTTGCCTTCCCACGGACTGTCCTTTACCAGATGGGCAAGCATTCGGAATGAGCCTGTTTGGGTAACTGTTTTTGAGGAAAGCATATAGCTACAGCATTTCAAGTCTGAATATATTGGATTCCTTCAAGGGGTGGGGTAATTACTTGTCATTGTGTAATTTTAATGGAACCCTTGTTTAAAATAGCAGATTACAGAACAGAAAACAGGTGCAATTGCAGGAAATGAGTCTGAAAACTAGCATGGGTTGGCTTACTAGGGGCCTGTATGCCTTCCAAATGAGTTCACATCGTATCCTAGAGGACACATGCTTTTGGGAAATCACACTTACAGGGCAATTGTGTTAGAGGTGGTCATTGGCCTTTGGTGAGCTCAGTCAAATGAAGTCTTGGTGTTTAAGACAGACGTTCTCCATGTTAGCATGCAGGTGCGATCCTTGCCACCCCACCCCCACCCCAGAACAGGGGTCTGAATACTGTGCATACAGCAAATGCAAAAAGCGTTCCAGGAGAACACTTGAGTTTCAGGTCATTAAGTCTAATATTATGTGCAGCTTAAGACTCTCATTTGTATCTGGGGCACTGTGCAACTCTGAACAATGGAGTAAATGAAATCCCTGGGTTAGTCCTCATGCTCCTCACTCATAAAACAGGAAAAGGGATAGACATTTTCAGAAGGTTAGAGAGTTGTAGAGAAGCAATCGGAGTGTCCTGCAATCAAGGACTTCTTTTCAAGTAAAATTGAGATACATTTATAGAAGTGAAAGAAAGAAAACACAGAGCTGGAAAGAGAGCTCAGGGAGTATGGATGCTTGCCACCAACCAGGAAGGTCTTGGAGAAAGGAACCAACTCTTGGCAAGTTGTCTTCTGGCTTCATCACACCCACACACATGTACAGGGAGACATAGACACACAAACACAAATAAATACATCTAAGAAGTTAAAAAGAAAACAGAGGGGAGAGAGATGCATAATCTTTTCTTAACCTGCTTGATGCCTTTGTAAAGGGGCAATCGTAGTTAACCTTAAACACTGTTCCTTGCTTAGCACAGAGCCTGGGATCCACCAGGTAGGCACGCAGAGAACATTGGTTAGAAACCCAGGCTGCAGCCAGAACATCCGGGATTGAAACTTAGCTCTGCCCTTGACCAGATGTGTGATACTTAGTGCTTATGTGTAGACTCTGATGATTTAGCTCAGTTTCTTTGCCTGCCTTAGATTTTATCTGCAAAATGATAACATAAGTATAATTGTCTGAGAGAGCTGTGGAGAGGATTACAAACAAAATAATAAACACTGGCTACTACAATTAGCTGCTATTATTGTTTCCCTTTTTTTCATGTCCAGGGAAAGGGATGCTTGTCTTCATTTGTTCATTGTCTAGCTGTAGAGCCAACAGCCACTCCAATTTCCTTCTCTCTCCCAAATTGGGTCTTCGTAGCCCAGTTTTTAAAAAAGAGATTCATTTTTATGCTTTAATCTGTCTGCCTGTTTCTTTCTGTGTTTGTGTGTATTTGTCTCCATGTGTGTGGGTCTGTGCACACGTGAGTGTGGGCGCCCTTGGATTTCTGCAGAGAGGCATTTATGAGCTGCTTAATGGGTACTAGGAAACAATCTCAGGTCCTCTGCTGGAACAGTAAGCACTCCCAGTCACCAAGCCACCCCTCAAGCCTCTCACCCTTCATTTTCAAGGCATTTCTCCCCTGCCAAGAACAACCAGAGTTCCATTCTCTGTTCTCCTGGCAGCCCACAGATTTGAAAGACCCACCCGTGTTCATTTGTTCGGCGGCGAATAGCACACAAGGACATTCAATGCCCGATTTACATTTGGATAATTTCCTGTCTGGATCACCTTCGATTTTTACCGACTCAGAAGAAGGTCAGTTACACAAACAGTAGCCTCTGTTTTCTAGAATTGGGACAGAGGAGAAGGGAAAACTAGGAATGGCAAAGAGTGATGGGACTGTATGGGGCTGTAAGGTAAGAGGGGAGGATCAAATCTGTATGACAGTCAGTGTTGTGTGCAGCTAGTCTGAAGTCACCAGAGCACACTAGTCAAATTGCATCACTCTGCCGATAAGTAAATAAAACAAAGCAAGCAATACAACAACAACAACAAAACAACAAAACCTCTGAAGCCTAATAACCCCGAGAAGCTAACCATTCACTCGGCAGCCAGGAAAATATTATCCGCATTGCATCTTTTGTTTATATCAAAGCATTTGTTTGTTTACACGAAGTTCTCCACACAAACCAGCAAGGCACCACTGGTCCACCTCTAAGGATTCTCTAACCACTTCCCTGAACTTGTCTTCCATGTCAGACAGACATGCGGTGATGGCAGGAAGGAACTAGTAAAAAACATTTTGTCTATGAGCAGTGGAGGTTTTCAGATAGCGTCAGGCAGATCAGGGAAATCTACACACAAGCTGGCGAAGGCTGATGGACACACTCTGTCTCCACGGCTGCTCATTTAGGACTTGAGTTTCTCTCTGAGCGAGCTTTAGAATGATGAGGATATTTACATTAGTTTTCAATGGCTTTTATCACGAAAGGCAAACATTGAATGAAAGAGTGCTTCTGGCAAGACTTGCCCGAAGAATGGTTACCTGGTTACTAGTTTTGCCACATATACACTGTAACATCTGGATTCATAGACGTCTTCTGCTCTACAGTGAGCCCATGATTGCTGTTACTAGTGTTCACAGCTCTGTCAGTGCTGTATGAAAAAAAAATCTCTCTCTCTCTCCCAATAACTCTACTGAAGGCCTTTTATTACAAAGTGGGGGTGTATGTTTATTTTATGAGCTTGCTTAGACACATCAGCTGGCACGCCATCTCGTCACAGCCTAGTGAACTGGGTTCCATATAATGACCTTGACGGTGGCAAGTTACAGCCAGAGAGGGTGATGTCAAGCTTGGAGGTCCTGCAGCAAAGCCAAATGAAAAGGGATGACAACAGATCTCAGAGGCAGGAAACCACAGTGGAGGAGGTCACCGACACCGTCTCCGAGTTGCTGTTTCTCCAACGAAGCCACCTTTATTTGCAGTTTAATGTAATAATTTGAAAAAATGAAAGGCACACTCCCTTAAATTTTAATTTCCCCTTCACTCTATGTCTATTGTCATGGCTCCCTGTACATTGAGAAGTGCAAATCGCATGGACGACTTCCTCAATGGGGGTGAGGTGAGCTGGCTTTCGAGCGAGGAGCCTTGGGGATTTCCCAAAGCCATTCTAAAATTACCCTTGAATTTTTCTCAAAAGTAGCTTCATTCTGTTAAGTTTTGGCAAAATCACTAAAGAGGGTAAAGACCAAATGAATGTGATCTATTATAATTTCTGTTAATTTTGGAGTGGAAAATAATAAAATGAAGATTGGATTTTAATTCAATCCCCATCGTTATATTGGTCCAGAAAGTACAATGACTATTTGATTTTCTGTCTATTAAAGGATGATCTGGAACCACATTCCTTGGCCGACTTATTTTTGTTTCTCCCAAGTCCAGTCTCTACTTAAAATAAAAATTGTTCCTTGGGATCCATGACACAGAACTAAACAAACCCTTGGTTAAATTCAAACAGAAACAGCAATTTTACAATGCCTGGTCTTAATCATTGCTCTATAGAGTGTCAGAAATTCAGCCTCTAAGTTTGATTCTGTCTAGGTCATTGATAAAATAAACCTAATGTGGTCACCTTCAATAGTATAAATGCCTGGTTGCAATAGCAAATTCCAGTTATGTGTCCACCAAGGCTGAATACACAATGCTTTTCAGAGCTCTTCCCAGAAAAGCTAGTCTAATTAGATTCTCAGATATCTCAGACAAGCATTTCCTAGTCAAAAACTCTTTGGTTAGTTTCGGCACTAGCCCAGTAGGGTATTTATGCTTCTAATACCTTTGGGGAAATGCCGTCAAAAGACTTAGGCTGTCTCCCACCCCTCTGTTGCTCTGCATGCTAACAATGTTTTTCTTTTCTTCTGCATGCATGCTGATTGTTGAGCATGCTAGCTGCCTGCGCTAACACTAAGCCACACCCTCTGCCAACAGTGCCTTTAACGGCCTTTGGAGCCACACTAAAGACAGTATTGTTTAAGGTGATCGTCCAGAAGGATGCTTGCACGTGATTTAGAGAGCCTGGGCAATATTTCTGTTCTTCTGCACCACACCAGCTTCTCTTGAAGGCTTGAAGTAGGTAAAAGCAAAGCCTGGAAGCAAGATACTCCTGCAGCAAGCCTCAAAGAATACATACCCAGCAGCTAAGCAGGGGTCCTTGTTACCGTCCACATAGATCTAAGGGATGACCTGAGAACCAATATAATTTATCTATATAAAAAAATACTGCTTCTAAAAGGTATATTTAACAGCAGACTATTTAAAAACCAAAAGGTAATACTGACATCGGACATACATGTGTTATAATATATTCATCTCTGGGAGAAATAAAATCAAGCCTGTACTGAAGTGCGTTTTCTATTGCTCCCTCAAGTCCTTTTATTGACATTTGAGCAGGCGTATCCTGTGGTGGATGCAGTAAGCTCCATGTTCTGTGCTTACTCAACGATTCAGAGGATCAGGTCAAAGTGCCGAAAGATCATCTTGTACCTGGATTTGAAAACAATGAAACAGGATGTTGATTTGGGTGCCCACATCGGCCCCAGTGGACAGATGACGGTCAACCTCTGAAGCCCCTGCCCTGAGTGATGCAATTGATCCTAGCTCCCCCTCTTCTCTGCGATGATACACCAGTTGCCATGGTCATTGCCAGCACTCAGAACCTGCAGCTCAGACACACTCTCTTGCAGAAGTCCGGACAGCTCGCCTTCCCGGAACACATGGTAGTAGCGCATGAAGGCTCTGGAGTCCGGAGCCGCCTCCCGTTCCTCTGCGCAACTTGGGTCTTCTGATTGGGAATCTGTAGAGTCGAATGCAGAAACTCTCCTTAACATTTTTCTGGCAGAAGAATCACTGACGTTACCTGCAGCCCGACTGTCTCTGGTGTCAGTGATGTCCAGAAAATCGCCACCCTCTTTCCTCCTGCTGTGTCCTCCCTGGTGTCCACTGAAGGTCTCCGAAGTGACCGTTTGTCCCAGCCAGCGCAAGTGTCTTTGAGAACGTGTGTCTACAAACACCTCATCTAAGTTTGGTCCTTTGGTTGACAACGGGTCCTGGGGATGGAAGTCTAAACTGGACTGTCTGGAAGGCTGACGGGACACAGTGCTATTTGTCCAACCCTCTGTGATTTTCATAGGTCCTGTTCTTTCAGTTTGCTTCTTCAGGGTTGATTCATCCAAAGACCTGGAGAAAAACCAGGAGCGAAGAGATTTTCCAAAATTGTTATACAATCCATTCTCTTCCTCACCATCCTTCGAAATATCTTCACAGCAGGTTCTGGTCACCACAGGCCCATAGTCCATGCTGTGGGACCTCTTCGAATCGCACCTGCCCTTCAAACATACTGCACAGCCACACGCAGAGCCAGGACCCTCATAGCCTTGGCTCATGGGATGCCCACACTGATGCCCCCACGACTGGTGGGATTCTGAGAGCAGCCGGGAGCAGAGTGCATTGTTCCACGGCACAAGCACATCCTGCTTCTCGAAGCGTCGGTTCTTCTGTTCCATTGCCCAGACGTAAATCATCAGTTGGCCTCCGGGAGCTAAGACCCTGGCCATTTCCTTTATTGCTCTAATTCTTCTTTGTTTTGTAGAAAAATGATGGATGACTGAAAAAGAAAATGGGAACAAAAGAAAACTTAGATCTCACTGTGCAAACATCGTATGTGTAAGCACATACATACTGATGTGTTTCCACAGAACAGAGGTGAAGTTCTGACCTAGAGTGAGCCTTATCTCATGGGTTTGTGTACTGGCTGGTTTTGTGGGTCAACTTGACACAAGCTAGAATCATCAGAGGATGGTACTTTAGCCAAGGAAATGCCTCCATGAGATCCAGCTGTAAGGCATTTTCTCATTTAGTGATCAATGGGGGAGGGCCCAGTCCATGGTGGGTGGTGCCATCTCTGGGCTGCTGGTCCTGGGTTCTATAAGGTTTACTGAGCAAGCCAGGGCAAGCAAGTCAGTAAGTAGTCCCCCTCCATGGCCTCTGCATTAACTCCTGCTTCTAGGATCCTGCTCTGTTTTGAGCTCCTGCTCTGACTTCCTTCACTGATGAAGGGCCGTGCTGAGTGTAAGCCGAATAAACCCTTCCTCCCCAACTTGTTTGGTCACAATGTTTTGTTGAAGCAATAGAAACCCTCACTAGGATGGTCTGGCTTTCAGAGAGACACAGTTTTTGGCTTGGGTAAATTTTATAGAATTGAATAGTCTCTTCAGTTCCAATAAGAAACCTAGAGATATTGTCAAATCTCTCTTTAGCTCCAAAGCCTGTGGAATTTGATAACTGGACGAACAAGGATAATCAATGTGAATTACTGAAACATGAAAGGGGCATTAAATGAGGCAGTATTCTCTGGTGGAGTCTATGAGATAATTTGTTGTTTTACTGAACAACTGCTATTTCCATAGAAACAAAAGATGAGCAGCAGTAAGTCATTGGTGTTAGTAATATTCATGAAACAAGTATGGTGGAGCAAAGGGTTAAACATTACTTTTTCAGTTAGGTAATGCAAAGAGAAGCCAGCTAAACACAAGTGCAAATGCTTACCTAGCATTTCTTAAAGATAATATAATAATTGTGTGTGCTTAAAAAACCAATTTACAAGTTACTATTTACTTCTAAGTCCTGCAAAGTTGAAGGGAGGGTCGAGCATTTTCTAAATAGAATCCACCTCTCACTTACATGGATGCGTGTTATTGTGGGTGCATAGTATTAGCAGTAATAATTAGTGTGCTGTACTAGGTGAACCCAGGAGACAGCGTGACAGGCCATCACTCTACCACTGAGCTGCACCCCTGCTTTTATTACGTATATTTTCACCAGTGCTAGCCTATTAGATCCTGGAGGGGTTTAACTGGAGCACTGTGTCAAGAGGAAACATCCTTAGTCTTTGAAACAGGACCCGTTACATAGATCAGGAAGGAGATTGGTTCCAAGCAAAGCTGAGAGACTCCCTCTCTGCTGCGGGCGGAGAGCCGCTGAAACTGTCCTCCTTGTGATTGCACCATTTAGCTCTTAGCGGCGATTTTAAGCTGGTGACTTCTGGGGTTTACCTGCCACAGGGATGCATGGAATATGGAAAGAGAAAGTCTGGTAGAGACATAAATAGCTTTCAAAGGGAGATCACGCAACATTTGTATTTTTTTCTGTTTTTCAAATTTTTGGTTTTGTGTGTGTGTGTGTGTGTGTGTGTGTGCGCGCGCTCGGGCATGCTTTTGCGTGTTTGTCTGCACGTATGTACATCCACCATGTTTGTGCAGTGGCCAGGAGGGGGCGCTGAATTCCTTGGAACTGGAGTAACAGACAGTTGTGAGCTGCTATGCTCACAGACCACAGGACACAGTTTCTGGGGATCGTGACATCTCACTGGAGGGATCTTCTAAAGCCCAAATAGGGGACAGGGGGAAACATTAAAACAGGACTGTTTCACTCAATGTTGTAATAGACTAACATTCCACGATTTTGCCCGGCTTTAAAGGGTGTTGGTATTATGTACGAAACAAAGTCTTTATTAATTTATTGATAAATACAGAACAATTCATTTTTAGTTATAATTTTATGCAGAAAAATGACTCAATGTTTTAAACTTATATTTAACTGAGTATGAGTAACAGCTTTTAAATCAAGTGTTTTTTTTAAATTTTCATTTGTGCATCTGTATCTGTGTGAGCCAATACCAGGTGTTTACAGATGCCTATAAACATGTATTAGATCCTCTAGGACTGGAGTAGGCAGTTTCTGGGAAGCGAACCTGGGCCCTCTGCAAGAGTAACAGTGCTCTTAACTGCTGAACCATCTCTCTAGCCCCACGCCAAATGTTTTGGAGGAAAAAGAAGTTTAAGGAGGATTTCCTCACACATGTCAAACGTGCTATGTACACACACATACGTGCTCTGTTAGGAAGCACTGTGAGTGTCACTATAGTGGCATCTGCCTAGAATGTCCCTGCCGAGAAACTATGCTGAAATTTTAAAAATTAAAAGAATATTTTTGTGAATTGTAATCACAAATTAAGTGCAAAAATAGTATTTAATAATGCACTCTCTCTGTCTATATATATATATCCATATATGTACCCAATACACATACCCCATACACGTACCCCAAATATGTACCACATATATGCACCAATATATTCACCCCATATATATACCCCATATACTCATTCCACATATAATCTCCATATATATATATATATACACACACCATATATACACCCCACATATACGCTCCATATACACACTCCATATATATGCACCATATAAGTACTTAGAAGCAATTTTTCTGTCAGAGAGGCTCAAAAAAAAAAAACCCACCAACTTGAATCCAACTTTTGGATTATAGATCCAAATGATGACAGCGATTTCCTTTAACACCCTGCCACATCTTCTATTTTATGACTTACTGCTCTTTAACTTTGCAAGTGCTTAGGTCTTACTAAGCACTCAGAACTTATGGGCTTAGCAGACGTGCCACTGGCATTCCGAGCTAGATCATTCCTGTTACCCACTAGGTGACATCATGAATGGTCGTCAGCTTCCATGAGATCACCTGGCTTTGGTAAAGCTTGTTTCGTCAAAAAGCTAACTAAAGAAATGTGTTGAATCAACTAATTTCCCCTGCGACAGATTTGAGAGCTGTAAAGAACTTAGTGGAAGATTCCTTTATTTTTGCTATTTGTTTGTTTATTGAGACAAGGTCTTACTATGTAGCCTTGGATGGCCTAGAACTCACTAATTACAACAAGCTGGCCTCAAACTCCCAGAGATCCACCTGCTTCTGTCTCCCAAATGCTGAGAATCAAGGTGTATGGCACCATGCATGGCTACGGGACCCTCCCACCACATTTAAGTACAACCAACACATTGGACGGCAAGAGTACTGGGTAAAGTGAGCTCATATATGTGTGCATGTTTCAGGCATGGATTTTTGTTATTGCTGCTGTTTTGTTTGCTCTGGCATTGAGTTTACTAGGAAGATGGACTCATTAACAACATCCAGACTTAAGAACACAAAAATAGGATAAAACAACGCAGTCTGGGACCTGTCTTTTCCAGGAACTTGAGTACCAGTGAGTGACACACATGTCCAGGGTTTGTTCAATACATTTGCTCTAGAATTTTCTGTTAACAAAGAACACTGTTTTGACCTGTTTTTGCTTGTCTGTTTCAGTAACATGACATCTGAAAAATCTAACTGTATGCCAGGAGAATCTGGCTTGATCTCAATCTAGCAAAGCATATTTTCAATGAGCAAGAGCCCTAACATTTTTCATGCACATAATAAGAGAAATGGGAACAAATCATCAAAAACAATGCAATAATAGCCTGAAGGTTTAAAATTAAAACTATATATATATTGTTTATAGTATGTATCTATACACACACACACACATATATGTATGTGAGGCAAATAAGTCATGCAGTTGAATTTATTTTAAAATTAGATAAAATGCATTGCATAGACCTCTACCAAGAATGGACATTGAGTCATGTGATTGGCCTGACCGTGGTTTTTCATGACAAAGTGTGATGGTGGCCTGGCTGCCTTACCTCCTATGGAGATGATAGCATCGAAGCCCTGGTCCCTAAAAGGGAGATTAAGGTTGTCACATATCATGACTTCACCCCCTCTGTTCCGGGCAATCTCGACCAGAGGCCCGCAGTAGTCACAGCCCAGGGTATGGACTTGGCTATTCACTTTAAGGTACTTTCCATTTCCACAACCTGTAAGAGAAAAACTTCTGTTACATGCTGGCCTTACTGGAAAAATGCAAGTTAACTTGTCCTATAACAGCTAAAGAAACTATATTAAATGACCAAGACACAAGACTTCAGCAGATTCACACAGAAGAGGGGGAGAGTCACATTAGGGGGAAAAAAGATATGTCTGCAATGTTTTTTGGGGCAGTGCCCACGGGGCTCAACACATCAGCACAATCCAATCACATGAGCTGGCCTGTCCCTGGGAAACACAAGCTCCAGCATCCAGAAACCAAGGCCAACAGAGAGCAGTTGGTATCTTTAGGTTAACATACACATTTCACTTTGCGTGTGTGTGTTGCATCAAATGTCCTCTCCAAGGGGTCTTACCAATTTCTGACCGTGTTAAACCAACTACTGCCAATGACATTTCAGTGTCTACAAAAAGGATCATCTATACCATCCGATGTGGTTTTAAACACACAAATGTGACTGATAAAGAAAGTAGCATTTTTTTATTGCTCTCAGCTTATTGCTAAGACATTCCTGTTAGGTCAGTCTAAAGAGCTAATGAAGAGTTCAATCAAACAGACTCTTTTGGTCATTCATTTCCTAATGGTAGAGACCTAAGTACATAGTCCAAAGACTGAAGTCAATCAAATCTTACAGCGTGATAGAGAGTAACATGAATGACAGACAGATGATGCTGGGGTAGGGGGCTTCTATCATTTAGTACCTACCACCAAGTTCTCTTTTGAGATTGGGTCTCACCGTATTGCTCAAGCTGAATTTCTGGGTTCAAGTGAGTTTTTCCCATGTCAGTCTTCCAAGAACTTGGCACGCTAGGCACACGTCACTGCCCCTGTCTCCTAGCATGACCTTCAGTCTCAAATACATAACCTAGGTCCTTGCCAGAGGTGTTGGAAGAAATCAAGGGAGCTGATTTTGTATCCACTGGCATTTCTTACTTAGAGATTTTTTTCCGCAGCACAAAAATATCAACCAATATTCAGATGCAAAGTCTGGCTGCCTCTGAGTAATAAGTCCAGGACAGTCTTTAATAAATCTTCCTTAATACCCTGTTTTCAAAACCACGAGACATGAAAAACAGAGTGAAGGATTCCTGGTGCCAGCTGTGACGGTGGAGAGGGGAAGTGAAAGAAATGATAAGCCTTCTAATGTGATTATTTTAATATAAATGGCTGAGATTAGATCCTCATTTCAGATCTCACAGCCGCTGCTCCTAACGCTCATGAATAACAATAGCTGCTATCTGACGAGAGTCACAGGGAAAATATAAATCATACTGCATTTCGAAGTCCAAGTGCTGTCTGTGTCAAAGATGATGGTCCCATTTTCATAAATATCTTGAAAATTCACTTCTCCCTTTATTGGTTTGAGAGATGCATTTAGAGAAAAGAAAGGGAAAATCTGTCCAAAGATTCTGCCAGGAACTTTTCATACGTCATGACAGACAGTGGAGGCTCTTCAGAAAACCACTGGTAACAAAGAGAAAGGGCATTTTCTCTTAGCGCCCAGAGCTCTGGTGCTCTCACCTCCTCTCATCTCCGTTTCTAAAAGCATCACAGTGAACGGAACCTGCAAACGATGCTAAGTGCACACCCGAGATGGCAACCAGGGGAGACGTTCACATTAAATGAGGAAGTCAGGTCCATCACCAACCCAGGTCTTCCCATGATCGAGATGTATCCTGAACGTTCGTGATCCCCCGGCAAACCCGACTCCATGACAGTCACGCTTTCGTGTGAAATCTCACTAATGACAACCAGGTGTTCTCACACCCTTCTCAGTGCTGTACTCTGTACCACAGCGTGGCTACAGAAGATAACAGAACATGGCGCCAGTCCATCAAAAAGGAAGTCTGTCATTGGCCAAGCATAGTCTAGCCATACAGGAATGACATTCTTTACTTTTACTGCATCAAATGAAGGAAAGGCCACTAGAGAACTAATGTCAATCAAAGACAGCCGTTGAAACTGAGAACGCTGGCAGATAAACATCAAGAGGCATCTTGATTATTGAAGAATTTATTTGTTTTATTATGTACACAAAAATACCATCTTTAGTGCTATTCAGGTGGGTATTCCTGGAGTCAATTATGAGCAGAATCTTGCTGAAGAAGAATCCAGCTTTGGTCTTTCTCTCGCTTTATGAATGGACCTGGGTCATGACTTCAGGCCACACACTGTCCTCCATGCTGCGTGCAAGAGACATAAAATGGCCCAGCGGATTCTGGGTAAACTGCCATGACCACATGGGTCGGTTGCAGTGCTTTCAGGATACATTTCAGTGTTTCTGTTGTTGAACCGCTGAAGCTCTGATCATTTATGCTATTCTCCACGTTTCCTTAATCTCTCCCCTTCAGGTTTCTTAAATGGTATGGGAGCAGACACCTGTAATCTCAGCTGAGACAGCAAGATGCCCGCTTCAGGCCATCTGGGCTATATAGTGAGGCATTCTTTTACCCCAACCCCTCTGCGGGATGTTGTCAACATGATTTGATGATGGTTTCTGCTGGATGTTGCAAACTGGTTTGATGATGCTCTGCTCTCTACCTCTTCCATCTAGCTATTTGTCCTTGTACTTTTGCTTGCTACAGACTTAATAAACTCACCCATTCAAGCCATGAGTACAGCTATCATAGATCATTTCTCAAGACCACAGAAACCAAGGTGTGCAAAAGCAGCTTTTCTCTGTCTTTTTCCATGCTGAGAAAACATGACCATTTTCTTTCTTCTAGTGGGGTGTGTGTGTGAGAGAAAGGGGAGGCACATTTTCTATATCCCAATAACTTGATTTTAATTTTTATTAAGATATATCACACAAAGCGAAGGCCTTCATTCAGACACACCATACACGGTATCCCTATCATCCTAACAATTAGCTGTGGGATTAGCTATTCCCGGGGCAGAAAACTAAAATAGAAGATGAGTCATGGCTTTCTAATGAAAACTTTCATTTCTATTTACAGAGCCCAGTGCATTCAATGATCTACAGAGAACAGCAGCCTATGTGTATCAGAAAAACAGACCACCCTAAAATTACAGCTGTCTCAGTGCCTGCCTTGCTGATAAGCCTTTATCAGAGTTCCTATAAAAGTCTCATGCCTACAGTCCCTAGCTAGCAGGCCTGGTTCTGGAGAAAGTGCCCATCTTTCAATTTTCTGTCTTATTGCTAACACAGCCCTCCCTGCCACCCCTCCCCCAGACCAGCCTTCCCATTTATTGGCTAAATTCAGCACAGTGAAATAGAACTTTCCTAATCAGAACAACATTATTTCTTCTTTAATTTAATTTTACTTTATAATATACCCTTCATTTTCTAATCAAAGGGTTACTGTTTACTGATTTGTTTAAGTACATAAATCACATATGACTCAAAGATATCAAATGGGCAAAAATACATTTTCTATTGATATAGTTAGTGATTTGAACAGAGGGATTCAGAGACTATCATTCATCCTATAACTTATGGTAGCAAAAATACAAGAGAAAATGGTCTGTTAATGTGCCATTAGCCTGGATACTATGCAGCTTTTGATCCTGGGCAAGATATTCATATAGGTGAACATGGAGTGTACTGAAGGTCACAAAGGCTAGATGTATGATCGTGTACTGTACAAGCATCTATGTAATCAAGAAAGGGACCAGCCACACACATACCCAGAAGCATAAGGCTCTTGTAGCCACACAAGCTCATTCAAGATTGCTCAGCGAGGTGGCGGGAAGGGTCGTCTCCAGGGGGGTGACTTGGTGTCCGGGAGACTGGATGTGCTGGGGTGGGTTCTCATTGTCCGTTCTTGAAAGTGAACCCATGGATGCAGATGACTCCCCATGAAGCACACCTTAATTCTCCATCCTCACCCAATCATCTGTTAATATCCTTTCACCATTTGGCTTTGGGCCGCCTGGTGGCTTTTCTTTTTTACCTTCTGGATTTATTTCTCTTCTCTAATTGAACCTGGGCATCACTTAACCAACATCTCGCCATTTGCTTCATCTCCACCCTCCATCCTTGTTCCAACCCCTGGGCATTACTTCTCTCAACTCTATTTCTGTGAATTCAACTTTTTTAAGTATCAAAATCATGCAGCCGAGCCGGGTGGTGGTGGTGCATGCCTTTAATCCCAGCACCTGAGAGGCAGAGGTAGGTGAATCTCTTTGAGTTCAAGGCCAGCCTGGTCTACAAGAGCTAGCTTCAGGACAGGCTTCAAAGCTACAGAGAAAAAAACCAAAAAAAAAAAAAAAAAAAAAAAAGATTATGTAGTAGCCTTTACTTTCTGTGTTCACACATGTTGCAAAGGATAGGATTTGGGGCTTTATACTAATTTTGAAAAATGTTCTGGAGAGTAAGAAAATCTCCTTTCTTCCATATTCTGGCTATGGACAGGGTCACGGTGAGAGGTCACATTAGCATATTCCTCCATCATCCCAGCAGTTTGTTTGGAGTTTTCACCCGTGCACATTCACTGTGCATGTGAGTTACATTTCTGCACACTTCTATTACAAGTAGTGCAGATATAGTACTTCTTTTGTTTTTTGATCTTTAGACTTTGTATATTCACCTAGGTTTTCCTCTTAAATCCTTTTTAATTTTATGGGATCACAGTTATTGATACGATCATTGTACATTCCTGGCTGGTTCCTTATTTGCTGTTCAGCGAGCTGCTAAACTCTATTCCTAGCCCTAAAATCAGCCTGCACACCCCTGGCAGGGTCATCCAGGCATGCACTGCATGACAACAAAAATGTCGGAGTGGCTGCAGCTCTCAGAGTATTGTCAGTGAAGAAAATCCAAGTGGAGTCCTTGGTTCTGGACACTTAAAAGAGTTGCCAGGCCCTGCGGAGCCATCCATGTGTCAGGCTTATGACAGGCGAACTTCTGACCGAACTCCCTGGTCCCCACCCAGGCTCATGGTGACCTCACGATCTGGTTGGTGCCAACTGAGATTTTCTGGGAGGAGGCCTGGCAGCTTTGTAAACATTTGTAAAACCACACCTTCCTCTCTCCCACTAAGCTGCCCAGAGACAGACTGTGCCTAATTCCTTTCTTGTGAGCTCTTGCTCTATCTGCCACAGGGCCAGCATACAGAGGTAGAATTGGCAACTTCCTGGCGGTTTTAGTTACACCAATGATACTTTTGTAAGACACCAGAGCACATTCTCACAGCTACTGGAATTTGGTGTCTCCTGCGTCGCTATTTTAATAAAGCCCAAATTAAAAAAAAAATTCTTTTTTACTCTTGACTAGCTAGACTCTATGTCAGCTAACACTATATGTGTCTTTCTCACAACTTATTTCACGCCCAAGAGTTTGCACTTTGTGCGTGTGTGTGTGTGTGTGTGTGTATGTGTGTGTGTGTATGTTTGCTTTGTGCAAATGCACCCCTTCTCCCTGCAGCATTCTTGGGTTCACAGATAGTTCACTGACAGATGCAGTGCCTGTGGGCAGAATATGCGAGACAAGGCTTTGTTGAAGCAGGGATGTAACGCGCTGGCTGAGAGTCTGATATGAACAAATCAGAAATATGCAGTGAACAAGACATTTTTTAACAGAAACATGGAGAAACACGGCAAACTGGCAAAAACGTGTGATTGATGTGTATCTGAACCTCTCCAGATGTTTCCTTGCAACGGTGAGTCAATGCTCACCGATCCAATGTTCACAGTACATTTAGAACACAGCACAAATAATGACAATCAATTCATTCTTTTATAGCTCCCCCCCCCCTTTTTTTAAACACATACAAAAGAACTCCTAAGACATAGAGAGGCCTTTTGTCTCAGGACTACTTAAAACACAATTTCATTTTCTTACACTTAAACCTTTGCTTCATCCTAGAATGTCTTATCAGGTAAGATATAATAAGAGCACCATCTTATTAAACTGCTATCCTAAACCTCCTGGGTGAATCGCCCCTTTTTTCCCCACCCATATCAGAGTCCTGTGCTTTGCATGGACAGTGGACAGTGGACAGTAGGGGCTCTGAACTCACTTCATTCTCTTAAACCAGGTACTGTTCCCCTTTGTGGTACTGGGATTTGAACCTAGGGCTCTGAACATGGAGAGCATGCCTGCTACCCCTGAACCATATGTCCAAGCCCAGGATACCATTTTTTTTTTAAACTAACACACTAGAGATTTTTTTTCAGACTCCCAACTTCAGCATGGTACACCCCTCTTCCTAGACTGTGAACTGCTTATACCCTTTGTCAAATACACCCTTTGTCAAATGCTCTGCACACACATTACTATTAAGGGAGCTGTCAACCTAGGCTAAGAAGGAGTTAACTATACACTTGTGATTCTTCTGTGCACAGCAGGCTTGTGATTCCTGGAAAGCAGAGTTAGTGGGAAGCAGAAATCCAACCGCACCTTAAATCGTCGTCTTAGACTAAGTTGTGGTTTACCGCTTCTCAGTTCGGAAAGAGGCTGAGCTGAAGTCCTCCAGATAAAGCAGTGATTATGGGAGTGCTACCTAGTTAAAGATATGCCCCATAAATTCCATGCCTACAAATAAAGGGAAGGACCCATTGGAATAATGAAAGGGTATAAGACTCCATTCATGATCTCACAAGTCTGGTTCTTTCATAGATGTAGATGTCACGGCTCAAGATAAGCCAAGTATACAAAACACATCTTCCATGTGTGAAAGTCTCTAAACCAAAACTGGCCAAAGTTGCATCATTTCCATCCTTATTTATTCCATCAGTGATGATTGATTTTAATGGAAGATCCGCATAAGGGCCCAGAATGGGTCACTGCTTCCTCTGAATATAGGTTGGGGGATGTTTCCGGCTTGATGACTTTGATGATAAGAACTTTTGGGATAAAGTGAATATTCTATAGACTAGAACGCTACAACATCACATCACGTTTCTTGTTAGAATGAAAATAAGGTATGAACGACAGGGATAGGAGCAACTGAGCATGCATCAGACCACGCATGGCAAAACAAAAGTCTGGGTTACCAATGTCAGCGATGAGGCTGCCTGGTTTCTGGTCCTGCAGGAACTGGCGGACTCGCGGCCAAGCTTTGCTCTGCAGGTCGCTGAAGTAGGGGGCGGTGCTCTCATACACATCATGTACGTGCCGTTTCTCTAGCTGGGCAGCTTCAGGATCCATCCTAGGGAAAGCGGGGGAAACAGAAGGCAGGCAGGTAAGGATATGAACCAGACACAGATAGAGGGGGGCATAGACTTCCTGGTATTCGAGCCTACAACTGCAAAAGGTTGGCTGGTCTTTGTGCTTCCTTATAGTGCAACGAAACCTGCATTGAAGCCTCAGTATCAACACCAAAACCTTAATAAGTGCATGGTGTTTATCTGCCCACTTTCAGAAACCAGTGATTTGGGGATAGGTTAAGTTTCCACATAGGATCAATGCTTCACTTTGGAAGCATGGCCAATGTTAGTACCAAAAGGTTTCATTTGAATGAAATTCTATCTAATGCTAGGTGGACCTTAAATTTTGTAACAGGAAGGTATCACGCCAATCAAGAAGCCATGAGAGGTTGGGAAGATGGCTCACTTGGTAAAGTACTTAGCTGGAGATGGTCAGACCCTTGGGGCTCCCTAGCCCATCAGCCTAGCCTAACTGCCAAGAGAGCACTTGAGGGATGCACGCCTGAGGATGACCTCTGGCCTAGACACACACACACTCACGAATGCCCGCACGCACACACGGGGGTGGGTTTATGAATTCTACCCTTTTAACGTCCTTGGATTGCAATAATTTCTCTATGTTCATTGGTTCTTCTTGAGTAAACAGCTCTTGTCTATGGCCAATGGTGAACAAGCCCGGTGTTAATCTGATCTTGGAGTAAATAGCCCTTGACCTGAGCTATTTCAACAGGCTGCAAACAGATTTTCTAGCACTTCAATTTATTTATTTATTTATTTCGGGATAATAACCACTCACACTACTTAGTTGAAATGTTCATTCAGTCATGTTGCTTTCCACCTCAGGCATCTTCAAAGGTCTTTGCAGTGGTCCAATTAAGTTCATCTGGCTCAGGAGACCTTGCAATGCCTTTTGTGATCAGAACTCAACTTACCTCTTAAGGTTCACTTATCACCTGTAATAAGCCGCAGCCTAAGGCCTCCCAGATGTCAAACAGGAGCTGGGCAGATCCTGACCTTCTCCTAGCACAGGCATCCCCACCTCCAAGGAGGATAAGGGCCAGCGGGAGGGATGAGAGAAGAGCAGCAGCCAGGCCTTTGCTACTGAACGCTTGCTCTTTTATTCTACCATGGTATGAAAAAGAGGAACACCCATGAGAAGCGGCTAGGGGTTCAGAGAGTGGCTTTTACCAATCAATATGAAAATATTTTCAATAACTTAGAAGACCATTTGATCCTGTGGGTACCTCTTAGATTTCTTGTGTCTACTGCATGCTGCCCACAGTTCCGTAATAGTTGTTTGGACAGACCTCCCTCCCTACCTGGAGGGTCCTAGTGAGAAGGCTTTGTCACATTTAATGCTGAATCCTCAGCACTTGGAACACAACCGGCTTGCTCCAGGGATCCCTCACCTCAACCTCCCATGCACTGGGCTGCAGGCATTCCTGCTTGCATGCACGCTGGCATTTATATGGGTGCCGAGGGCCTGAACTCCTGTTCTTGTACGTGCCTGTGCAGCAGGCTCTTTACCTACTGAGCCATCTCTCCAGCCCCTGCTGACTTTTCTTTTAAGTCAAAATGTCCATCTCAGCCATCTGTCTATTTGACTGCCACACTCCTTTTAGGGAATCAATCGGGCCCATCTGTTTTGGAGAAACTCAGAGCAAATGACACTGGCAAGTACAATGTGGCAAAGTGTAAGTGGCAAATATGTGCCTGCTTACAGTTGGCTCCAATTACCATGCCAATCAACTGAGCGGGGCCCAGAGACTGAACTGACCTAGCTATGGGTCCTGTGCATACACATTATGGCTATTAGACTGGTGTTCTTTGGTAGTGGGGTGTCTCTGCCTCTCTCGCCTGTGCTTGGGACCCCTTTCCTCCTACTGGGTTGCCTCATCCAGCCTTGATGGGAAGGTTGTGCCCAATCTTACTGTAACTTGTTCTGCCCTTTTGCTTTGATATCCCTGGGAAGCCTGTTTTTTTCTCTTTTTCTTTTTAAGGGAAATGGAGGAGGAGCAGAGGGAGGGGAAACTGTGGTTGGGATGCAATGTACTGGAGAAGATTTTTTAAAAAAAAATGGTGAAAGATAAAATACCAAAAATGGGAGAAATCTCTAATTTAAGTGCAGATTGTTTAGCATCCCTTGGAGACCTTTCTCTGAGCTCTTACCCAAATTACCTGGCTTCTACCAAAAACAAGTAACCCTGAAGACTGCTGTCTTTAAATGAGTGAGCTGGGTGAATCCATTCTTTTTTTTTTTTTTTTTTTATCACATCACACTCAAGGTTTCGATGTGGTAGAGTCAATTATTGATTGCAGATGTGACACTTGAAATTCTGTGTCTTTGAGGTTCTTATACTAATTTCTATCAGAATTTTATGTGTGCCAAAATAAGCAAATTCCTGTTGACTTTGGTAGCTGATTAACATATTAAGACTAGAGGGGGAAACCAGCAGTGGATTCTAGGGGAAGCAGAGGACACAGAAATGAGCCTAGCCAGGCTTCCTGCCCTGTGTGTCACTAAATTCCAAACCTGCAAAAGATTCCAGATCAAAGGGGTAAGTGGTCAAAGCCCCATGCTTCTATCTCCCCTTTGAGACGTAAAGGCTCACCAGCATGCTATGGGTTTCAGAAAAATGTCCCAGTTGGTCTGTAAAATCTTCATTTGTCAAAATCGTCAGACCTATGCTGTTCTTTCATTGTTTTTCATCTTTTGAGAAAATATTGTTCTGGACAAACTAGTTGGGAGAAATGCTGCCCCAGAGATTTCCACTTCAAGGGAGTCCCCAAAACAAAAGAAGTCCTTCTGGAGTATCTCCTTTCACCCATGTTATTGTCAGTCATGACCCCTGTGACTGTAGGTTCTGGACAGAGTACAGAAGAGAACAGAGCATCCCTATCATCACTGGCAATCTTCTCTGCTGTGCTGACTGGACTCAGGGAGAAAAACAGCCCCACAGAGGAAAAGATCATGGGTGGAGCTGGCTCAGCCCTGAGAATCTGAACCAAAGGATTTAGGGGATCCCGTGAGCACAGGTGTGTCTGGATTGTTGGAATCCTAGGGCATCACGTGAGCACAGGTGCTTCTGGATTGCTGGAGTCCAGTTTGAATGTGCACATGTAAATAAAACAAGAGAAATACTGTTCAGCAATAAATAAATAAAGTAGCGGTAGGACTTACACAGCATGAGAGACTGTGGTGTTTCATAGAGACTGGAGGGAAAAGAACAGGAAGAGGGGACAGCCTGCTCTATGACCTACTTCTAGCTCCCCTGTGGGGTCTGGACTGTTGCCTCAAAGCCACTTGACGCCAAGACAACTGTCACTGCCAAGTGTTGGCCTAAGTCCTGAAGTTCTTCAGTTCCCAACCTGGAACTTCAAGTGCGTTCTCGCTAACCTTAAGGTATTCTTCCCTACAGCCCATTGTGTTTCTCACGACCCTAGGACAGGCAAATTCCTTTTTTTATGTGATATGAAGGAAAACCAGAGGATTAAATTGTTACTTTTTAAATGACAGAACATTTAGAAATGATTGTTTTACACTTCAAGGAAGGAGTGTTCAAGGATACTAACAGTTACTGTTACTAGTTAAGCAGTCTATAAAACAACGTAACCCTTGCAGAAACAAAAAAAATCAAACAATCCACAACCCCAGAGAACCTAGGTAACAAAGAGGGCCCAAGGAGAGATATACATGGATCTACATAGGAACGAGAAAAAGACAAGATCTCCTGAGTGAACTGGGAGCATGGGGGCAGAAGGGGAGAGAGGAAGAAGGGAGGAGAGGGGAGAAAAATGTATAGTGCTATAAAAACAGTAAAAAAGAAAAAAAGAATAACAAATATGATGGCAAAAAAAAAAAGCAAAAGCCAATAGACGAACTAGCTTCACCATGACAAAATACCCGACCTGGCCAGCTTAAAAAGAGTAAAAGTGTACTTTGGCTCACACCACCATATAGCTCACACCACCATGCAGCTCACACCACCATGCAGCTCACACCATCATGTAGCTCACACCATCATGTAGCTCACACCACCATGTAGCTCACACTATGTAGCTCACACCATCATGTAGCTCACACCACCATGTAGCTCACACCATGTAGCTCACACCATCATGTAGCTCACACCACCATGTAGCTCACACCATCATGTAGCTCACACCATCATGTATCTCACACCACCATGTAGCTCACACTATGTAGCTCACACCACCATGTAGCTCACACTATGTAGCTCACACCACCATGTAGCTCACACCACCATGCAGCTGGGCTGCTGGCTCCTGGCTTCCATCTGTCATCCACATCCTGCTAATGCTCCAGAGTTCCTTTCATGTCTTTTGGTTTTGTTTTTAAAACTCTGAATATGTAAAATGTGTTTTCTAGGGGCTGGAGAGATGGCTCAGTGGTTAAGAGCACTGACTGCTCTTCCAGAGGACGTGGGTTCAATTCCTAGCACCTACATGGCAGTTTATGCCTTTCTGTAACTCTAGTTCCAGGGGATCTGACACCCTCCACAGACATACATGCAGGTAAAACAGTAATTGAAAAATCATGTTTTGTAATTATAAAAGTAAAATAGGGCAACACTTAAAAAATTGAGATTGTTTGATATGGAATTCCCCTCTGTATGCTGTGAATAGCATTGGTTAATTAAAAAAAAAAAACTACCTTAGGCCTGTGCAGGGCAGAACAGAGGTAGGCAGGGAAAACTAAACTGAATGCTGGAAGAAAGAAGGTGGAGTCAAAGAGAAGCCTTGTAGCCAAAGACAGACCCAGAACTTTACCCAGTAAGCCACAGACAGCCTCGTGGTAATACACAAATTAATGGAGATGGGTTGATTTAAGATATGAGTTAGCCACAAACATGCTAGAGTCATTGGTCAATCAGTGTTTTAAATAATATAGCTTTTATGTGATTATTTCAGGTCTGAGCTGCCAAGTGGCATGGAACAAACAAGTGGGCTCCCACTACAACAACTGTTACTTATTCTAAGAGTGATGGAAATATTTCATGTCTTGATAGTGGTGATAACTTTATAGTTGTTTGCTATTGTTGGTTTTGTTGATGTTTGTGTGTGTGTGTGTGTGTGTGTGTGTGTGTGTGTGTGTGTCACTCATGACAAGAAAGCAAGCTACTGTAAGGCAGATGCCTAGTTTCAGTGTCCTTTAGGCCGAACATGTTTGGGGAGCAAAGAAAGGTCCATATGATATTCATTGGTGAGTCAGCAGAGACAGGGAGAATTCATAAGATGCTCTGTGTTGGCTGGGCAGTGGTGGCACAGGCCTTTAATCCCAGCCCTTGGGAGGCAGAGGCAGGAGGAACTCTGAGAGTTCGAGGCCAGCCTGGTCTACAAAATAAGTTCTGGGACAGCCAAAACTGTTACACAGAGAAACCCTGTCTCAAAAAACCAAAATAAAATAAAAAGAAGCTATGTGTTGAAACTCAGAACTAATTCAGATTTTCTTCTAAATGCAATGGGAAGTGGTTTTAAGTTGGTGACTTGGGAGGATAACAGGATTGCATTGCCTGTTTTAAAACAGCATTCTAGGCGTATCTAACTCAACACAGAGTAATCATTGTTTCAGTTTGCCCATCCTTCTGAGAACTTGTGTCTTGCACTGCTTGGATGGCCTTGTGATGTGGCTGTAGCTGTACATGTGGCCCACATCCCTGGACATAGTCACTGCTCAGGGTGAGCAGGTGAGACAGGATCAAATGGATCCTTCTGCTCATCAGGACGTGGCTTTGCCTCTGACGTCGGAGTTGGAAAAATGAAAAGGTCAAGCTGTTGGCTTCATGTTTCCTGCCATATGGAAAAGCCCCATCTCAGAGTAGAAGGAATGAGGTCAGGAGAGGCAAGCAGAGAGGAGAGAAAAGAGGAGAGATTGGGAGTAACAGGAAGCCAATCTCTGCGGTCTGTGTTCCTGGGGTCCCAGAAACTAATCTTAACCTTCCCAGGGCAGAGTGGAAGCCTCCTCAATTGAAGCTTGTTGAGTTTCTGATCTTATCACCCTCAGGCATCCCTAATCCAGTGATTTTTGACACCAGTGCTTTTGGGCTTTGGCTTTCTTTCATTTGCATCTTTTATTCCTAAGAGCTTAAAAGAGAGCAGAAGAAATGATGGGAAATTAACAGAGCAGGTGCCTGGCTGGGGACCAGCGAGAAGGACATTAGCAATTCCTGCTTCTAGCAGCAGGGTCCTCATTAAGAAATCACAAGTGTTTGGATTAAACACTTCACCCTCTCCAGCAGGCAGAGCCATGTGACTGTCTGTGGTGTCAATTATGATCAGAAAAGATGAGGATTACTTCTGAGCAGAAAATTTTTAATCAGTGTGCAATTTGCTGGATCTCTTTCCCAAGTCTCTATAAGGAAAGTTTTATTAATTTTGCACATTCGAAGGGATCTTCACGATATATTTAGACAAAGAGCAATAAACATGGGAAGGAACACAAAGACTGATGGAATAATGGACCAGGGGAGTCATGGCCAGGGTTGTTACCAGGAAGTGTGGGTGGGTGGGTGGGAGGCTGCTTGTGGAAGGTGAGGGTTCCTTCAAAGACTTTGTACACATTTTGCTGGAGCACCAGTCATGAGTCTGTGCTGACAAGACTGCTGTGCAACCTTAGCAGGCAGAGGACATTCCTTCCAAAACAGTCTGTGTGTGTTTGTGTGTGTGTGTGTGTGTGTGTGTGTATGCGTGTGCATGTGTGTGTATGTGTGTGAGTGAGCGTGTGCATGTGTATGCGTTGGTCATGCCGATAGAACCCAGGGTCTCACTTATAATAGGATCCACCCATTCCCACTCATATTTACTTACACCCTACCTCTGACCTACACAGAAGAGCCTAAAATATGTTTAATAAGGAAATGAATAATGAAATTTGACAATTCAATGATATTTCTCTTTAATTTTTGAATTTTAAAACAGTCTGATCTAGGCATGGCTGATAGGCAACAGCCTGTGCATAGTGAAAGTACCTGTCTTAGGGTTTCTATTGCTGTAAGAGACACTATGATCACAGCAAGTCTTATAAAGGAAAGCCTTTAACTGGGGCTGGCTTACAGTTTCAGAGGTTTGGTCCTCCTTTATCATCATGGCAGGAAGCATGGCGATGTGTAGGCAGACATGGTGTTGGATAGTTGCTGAGAGTTCTGCATCTGAACTGACAGGCATCAGACCCCTCAAAGCCCACCCCCTAGTGACCCACTTCCTCCAACAAGGCCACTCCTCCTAATAGTACCACTCCCTATGAGGCTATGGGCAAGTAGGCTGCTAGTTAGTTCCTCGCTGTTTGGCCTGCTAGTTCTAGCTTCTGATTGGTTAATTCTTATATATTAATTTAATACATTTCTATTAATCTGTGTGTTGCCACGTGGTTGTGGTTTATCAGCTAAAGTTCTGTCTGGCTCCAGCGGGGCTGCATGACTTCTCTCTGACTCCACTCTTCTTTCTCCCAGCATTCAGCTTAGTCTTCCCTGCTTACCTAAGTTTTGTCCTATCAACAGGCCCAAAGCAGCTTCTTTATTCATTAACCAATAAAAGCAACACATAGAAGGACCTCCCACACCGTATAGGGGCCATTTTTATTCAAACCACCACAACCTAATCTGCTAAATCTTAATGGATGTAGCCACGGAGAAAACTACACAATCAACTAAGGTCCCGAGCGTATTCCTCAACCCAAACTCCCTTATCTCCCTCTACGGGTCAAAGCTCCCACTGTCCCGATCATGAGGAACTTTTGGAATGTCAAACTTATGGGCTGAGAAGAAGATAAACAACAACAGGCACAGTTTCAAAGACAAACTCTTGGTATATGACGAGACCATCAACAAAACAAAATGAAAGGTTTGCTTTCTTTTACCCAGGTTTTACACTCCTGAAGGTCACTGGGTAAAAGTACTCAGAAGAGCTGAAAATGCTCCCAGGGTAAGGTCTCCCTCCTGGGTCATCAAGGAGATAGACATTGCCCTTGACCCACAGAGGTAGGTCTGAGGAACTCTGGGAAGGCTTAGTTTTATCCCCAAGAGCTCTTCTTTCTCCAATAGAGCAAGGCATTTATGACATTCCTAGCTTGCTGGCTATTGTTTGTCATTTTCTTCCTCCATGAATTAAAAGATTAAAAAAAGGAGATTGGAACGTCTATTCTTGCCAAGGCTGGACCAGTTTTCCTATAGCATCTTTTAGTATTACCACACTGGACCAAGCTGGTCTACAAAGCCAGTCCCAGGACAACTAGGGCTACACAGAGAAAGCTTGTCTCAAAACACACACACACACGCACACACACACACACACTCACACACACCAACACATATGCATGCATGCATATATATGTTTATATCTTAGAAAATCACTATTAAATGCCAAAAATGTATATAGTTTTTATTCATTCAGTACACTCTTTTCAAATGTTCCCCCTCCCCTACCCAGTGCAAAAAAAAAAAAAAAAAAACAACAACAACGAAGCTTCAATCGACGTTCCAACATATCACCACACATTTTAAACAAGGAGAACCGGGACTCATTAGGTTTAATCATATGCACACCACTAAACCCCTCTCATTGTATCGGAATTACAGTAAGACTGGGGAGTTACTAACCTGAATCATCTTGTGATGCCCGAGGATTACTTCTTGTCTTGGTAAATCATGGCAGTTTCTCCTTGTTCCTCACGACTCTCTCAATATGTTACATACATGAAAGGGGTGGGAGTGAAGTCAGTAGGTAGCATCCTTTGCCCTTCGCAGGACTCACCACTCCGTGTGAGTCTTTGAAGGGAGTCCAGGCCCTACAAGGAAAAAACAAACAAACAAAAAACAAGCCACTTTACAAAATAAGAATATCAAACCTGCTACTTACTACTGTCTCTTCTTCTCTCGACTAGTGGGAAGCCATCTTCTAAGACAAACCTTCTGTAATTTCGGGGGTGTAGCATGTGAGTGAGCTGTCCTAGAAGGGAGTCAGCACTTTAAAACACAGAGCAACGGCAGTTTTAGGGTTCAAGGATTTTCTTTACGGAGTTAAAACTGAACAGAAAATAATGGACTATTTTCAAGGTCAATATTCTTTCTGGTACAGATAAAGCTCCAAGGATAAAGATTAAACAGATCCTGCTCCTGTTCAGGGCCCTTAGATGCTGTGATCTACTGGAAGATGGATCTAATAGACCTAGTGGATGATGCTATGATCTGCCGTCAGAGGGAATGAAGAGGAGGTGGGAGGGGTGTGCAGGCCTGGACAAGGGCTTCTTGTGGTATCTGAAGGACAAGTAAAGTGCATGAATCTTGGGAAAGTGAACTGGATTAGAGATCATGAAAAAAACCAAAACACTGCCACTACCACCACCACCAAAACCCCAAAACATTATCCTAGCACTTGGCAGTCAGAAATACATTCAGGCAGAGATGACCGTGCAGAGTGAAAGGAATGAGGTGGTGACGCCAAGGGCCACTAACCCTTCCCTGTCAAACATGGCAGCTAGTCACCTCTACTAGAGTGCTGGACAGTTCCGTGTAGGAAACACGAGGGCACACATACTAAGCAAGAATTGCACGGAAAGCCACGAGAAGAGAGGATGTAGGTGTGTAAGGATGCAGTTTCCCACTGTCTAGACTCTGTTCTGATAGAGATCAGCCAAGAATAATGGCTTGGTACAAAAAGTGAGAGCAAGGACGGAGTGGCTGAGGGAAAAAGCACAGATAGCAAAAGTTGCTTCTGCAGCTTGGAGTAACACAAACTCTGTGACTCTTAAGTAATGGGACCAGTGAAACAGCCCCATTCGTGCGCAGAATTCTCCATGGAAACTCCTGAGATCAGCCAGAGGGGTCACAGTGGAGACCGAAAGGGAAGGAATGCAAGAGTTCCCATGGACCGCCTAGGATGCTGGGCTCCGAAACAGCAAAATGCATGGCCCTGGGAGAATATGGCCCCCTCTATGATTACAGAGCCTGCCAGGCATCTCTGTAGAAACAGTGTATGGAAGGGAAGGGACAAAAAGAAAATGGTTATTTTTTTTTCCTTGAGGAAAACAGATCCAACATGTCTCCAAGAAAATTTCATTCTTTCCTTCAAAAATTTCAAGGATTCTGTGTCTTAATGGACTTTGATTTTGAGTGGAATATTATTCTTACAAACAAAGTGAGTCTAGTAATCTCCAGGTGGGGAAAGTGAACGTGTGAAGTTATGGGAGGATGATGCGGGGACACACAAACACACAAACACACACGCACGCACGCACACACACACACACGCACGCATGCACAGCATGAGTTCCAACACAGGCCCCTTTAACAGGTTGCTCCTCCGTAGGCGATGGCTTGGTCTTCTTCGTGGTAACTAGATGGTAATTCATTCTGATTTCACAGATTAGAAAAAAATGCCAGAAAAGAACAGGAAAATCAAACATGAAGTTTAAGGGGAATGGACATAGAGAGACCAGCTTCCCCGAGGCAATCTCTGCTGGTGTCAATTTGACAAAACTAGCTGGCAGCCTGTGCGGAGATCAAAGGATCAGAGCTCACAAGGGCAGCCCACGAGGAGATGATTCGGATGTTCTGAACAGCAAGACCAGACGCAATCATTCATTGTGCGCCCACTTTGCTGTCAGGATAAATGGTCACGCAGGCCAGGGGACAGGGAATTGATCTACAAAGAGATTTTAAATGAAGATCATGGTGCCTAACTAGAAACCAACGAATGCACAGATACTCTTAATTTTATAGAGTAAAATTGAGGGGCAAATATAAGGCTGTGCTAGGAATTCTCACAAAATATATTTTATAATACAATTAGCTTCGAAGCAGGTGCTCTGGGTTTCTTTCTGAGAACACAAAGCCGATGGTACTCTTGACTCAGGAAGAGTCCTTGTGTATACAAAATACAGAAAACCTGATTGCTAAGGATCACAGTTTGCTGGTTCTTCCTCGCAACTTGCCTCTCTTGTGTCTTTCCAAGTCCTTTCCACCCCTTCAGCCCGAAGTTCGCGCTTATCTAGGTCAGGAGCCCCCTTTCCTTGAGGATTTTACAGTCCAGGAAAACCTCCAGGGGATATTTGCTTAACCAGGAGAAGCTGATATTTCTCTGAGATCTAGGATATGACATGAATGACGGATGCCACAACACTGAAAGCTCAGCATCCTCGCTTCGAGGCTTTCCTCTCCTCTGACTTACCAGCGCCAAGCTTATAATCAAGAAACACCTGACAATAATGCCGGGCCCACAGTTGTCATCCAGCAATCTGGGTGGCAAGGAGAAAAATGGAAAGAAAAGAAAAAGATAAAAACGAGGTCAGAAGGGAGGAAAGAGAGGGAGAGGGAGGGAAGGGGAGCACCCATTCACTTCTGCTTTGTTCTTTTAAACAAGACAATCTACTTGTTTGTCTGCTAGGTTTACGGGGTCATCTGAGGCTCGCTTCCCTTTGCTCCAGCTCCCAATCCTGCACACAGAACAGTCAGTCACAAGCTGAGACAATGACTCCTTCGTTCTCACCAGAGCCTTCTCACTGTTAGAGGGTTAGTGGACCAAACTGTAGCGTTGGACAACCAGGACGGGTAGGTGACCTTATGTCCCCAGGAGTGGAATCTGTGGGGGATCATTCTTTGCTGCTGTTAAAGAGGCCTGGGCAAAGACTTTCCACTAACTTTTCACACAAGGAGCCCCTCTCTTGGTGGTTATGGTTGCAGAGTTATGCGAATGTACGTAATGCCACTGAAACATGTATTCAGAAATGGTTAGAATAGTAGGCTTTGTGGAGTTTTTTGTTTGCTTGGTTTTTTTGTTTGTTTGTTTGGTTGGTTGGTTTGGTTTGGTTTGGTTTGAGACAGGTTTCTCTGTGTAACAACTTTGGCTGACCCAGAACTCACTTTGTGGATCATACTGTCCTGGAACTCCCAGAGATCCACCTGCCTTGGCCTCCCAAGTTCTGGGATTAAAGTCAGGTACTACCACACTCAGCAGTTTTTTTTGTTGTTTAAACCATAATGAAAAGCGAAACTTTTAGTTACCTCTGCAGGTCGTGCTTTGGTTGTGTGGTGCCTACCTCTGTATGGGAGTCGTGTCCCCTGAGGCACTCGGAACCACACTGGCTATCAAACTAACAGCTCCTGTCTCTGAGCTTCTCCCTGTGTTCCCTGCCTTATATCTGGAGGGCAAGACTCCACAAACAACATTTCTTCTTTGCCAGATGACTCTGCCTCAGGAGACTTAGAGGGCAAAAGTCAGAGGAGGGACCAGCTCCTTCCTCTTAGCTTCCTGTTCCTCCCTGAGTTGCCCAGCAACTAGGAGCAGTGGGTCAGGTTCTAGTTGTTTCCGCTCTCCCAGACCAGGTGTTACACACCTAGGAGACGCCACACCAGGCAACCAGGGCCCTTCCTGAGAGATGTGCACCCAGAACACAATCTGTCCCCGGACCTCACGCATCAGCCTCTAACTCAAAGGTTTGGAAAGAGCTCAGAAACTATGAGCGATATTTGTTTTGTTTCCCCCCATTTATCTTCTTGTTTACTATTATTAACATCGTGTGTGTGTGTGTGTGTGTGTGTGTGTGTGTGTGTGCGCGCGCGCGCACAAGGGTGTTTCAGCTTGTCTGTGATGGTCAAAGGATAACCTATGAGAGTTGGAGCTCCACTTCCATCATGAAGGTTCTGGGAATTGAACTCAGGTCATTAGGCTTGGTGACAAGCACCTTAACCTGCTGAGCCATCTTGTTGGCCCAGCCCTACTTCTTAATTTCTATCCGAGGGGCTTCTCCATATTTTTCTTGAGTACAGGACAAGCAGTCTATGAGATACTCAATCAATTAGTAAAATACTTTAAAATCTCAACCATATGCTGAATATTTATGCTAGGTGCTTTAATAATCATCATTTTAAATTCATCAAAGATCCAAGTTTAAAATTTGAAACATAACTATATTAAGCCTCATGAAAACTCAAAAGTAGAAGTCACTGAAGATTGTGACTTGTGCTACCCAAATCATGCTACCCACAATCCCAAGTGGTCAGCCCTAGACATAAGTACATACAAGCAATGCAAGATGGACTTAGTAGGTATTATGTACATGTTTGGATGCACACATCTATATATGTAGTATATAATATATATAACTATATGTATATATGCAACAATAATAAGAAAGAGGTCAAGAGATCATGAATCTGGGAGGAGACACAGGAGTTGTGGGAAGGGAAAGACAGAAGTGATACAGATGCTGGAGCTTATATATGAAGTTCTCAAAAACACTATTAAAAACAAGAATAAAGAATTGAGAGACAATTCTGCAAGTGCCCTTCCTCTTTGGTGTGCTCTCCCCATCTCCCTTCCACCTCCTTTCTCTCAAGGAAGTGTTTCATGTGTCCCAGGCTAGTCTGGAACTTCCTATGCAGCTGAGGATGACCTTGAACTTTTGATCCTTTATTATAATTCTGAGCTAGTCCAGCAGTCTATGAAATGCTGAGGATCAAACCAGGGCCTCGTGCAAAGCTCTGTCACCTCTGCTCTACTTCCCCAGTCCCTAAGTTCTGACTCTTGATGCAGAACATGTTCTCTAACAGCCCAAGGTACCACAAAGCTTTCAAACCTATCACATCACACAGATCTAGGAGCTAGGAAGGGGTGAGGCACAGGATAGTAAGCAGTTAAGTAAGTAGTACAAAGCTCAGAGGTGGCTCCTATTCCCATTTCCAATTGAAGCTATATTTTTTTAAGGTTTCCAGTGCATTTTATTTAAGTGCTTTGTGTACTTGCGTGTATGTATGTGCAGGGCCCACTTATGCCATAGCATGCATGTAG